GGGACTCGATCCTGGGACTCCAGGGTCATGACCTGAGCTAAAGGCAGTCGCTTAACCAACTGAGCCACCCAGGCACCCCTACAAGAGACTCTTAATGATAGAGAACAAACTGAGGGTTGATGGAGGGAGGTGGGTGGGGGATGGACTAGATGGGCGATGGGTATGAAGGAGGGCACTTGTTGTGATGAGCACTGGGTGTTGTATCTAAGTGAGGAATCACTGAATTCTACTCCAGAAACCAATATTGCACTCTATGTTAACTAAATAAAATTTATTTTTTTAAAGATTTTGTTTGACAGAGAGAGCACGCACAAGGAGCAGGGAGCGGCAGAGGGAGCGAGAAGCAGACTCCCCGCTGAGCAAGACCCCAGGATCATGACCTGAGCCAAAGATAGACGCTTAGCTGACTGAGCCACCCAGGCGCCCCCTAAGTAAAAGTTAAATAAAAATAAACAAAAATATAAAAACACACATTAATTAAACGTGGCATGTTTCCGCTTTTAATGAAATGGAGACCACCCATTCATTGTGTTGCCTCTAGGTTAACTCATTTTAGTGTAGACTTCCAAAACGGAATCTCTGTGCATTTGAACTTCTTATAAATGGGTCATCAATTCAGAAGGCCATGGCTCAGAGACTCTTTCTAAATATTAGGCTTGGGCATGCCACCCCCATAAAATTGTCTTTTTTTTTTTTTTTTTTGAGTCATCTCTACATCCCAGCATGGGGCTCAAACTCACGACCCAGAGATCAAGAGTTGCACACTCCCACTGAGCCAGCCAGGCACCCCCCCACCCCCGTAAAATTACACAAGCAAGCACAGAACAATCCTCCTTAGCTTTGACACAGTGCCATCACAACAGATGACAGAAATTAACAGGATATTAAGCAGATAAACTGCAACTGTTATTCATAAGTCTCATTTCAACATTCTGTGCTCATTAAAGCAGCCTGGACCTTTAAAATTAGAGTAGACAGAAATCACAGCACACCATACACAACGGAATGCTAGGTAGCTAGTAAAACGAATGGTGCTATAAGAAACAACTGTTTGTTAAGCACAAAAGCAAATGCAGAACATTTTCCATGGAGATCTCTATATACACAGACACATGTATGTGTACTTACATATGCATGGGATTTTTCTTTTTTTTTTTTAAGATTCTATTTATTTGTCAGAGAGAGAGAGCGAGCACAAGCAGAGGGAGAAGAAGGCTCCCCCCTGAGCAGGGAGTGGGACTCGATCCCAGGACCCTGGGATCATGACCTGAGCTGAAGGCAGACGCTTCACCGACTGAGCCACCCAGGTGCCCCACAAAGAGGTTTTTTTCTGTCAGGGAGAAAAGGCACCCAACTCTCTTTTGAGTTTTTTATTCAGAGAAAAAAAGCCAATGCTTACTATAAGGGAGATAAAGGCTAATGGCGGAGTTTAAGGCATCTGGGGGCAGGGCTATGTTTTGGGGCTGCCCATTTGCAGGACCATTCAAACCCTAATCATCTTCATGTGACGCCAGCTTGAGACTGTCACCCCCAGTCTCCTACTCTCTTAGGAACATAGATCTACCTCCCTCATTTAGGATGGGCCTCTCTATTCAAGAATATTCCAGTCAATTATCCCTCAAAAAAGCTGCAGTTTTTTAGAAACTAAATAAATAAAAAGATTATTCCTATCATGGGAAATTTCTGGTACTGGCAAGATAAGTTTAATCAACATCTACTGCATAAATATAATCATCTAGGGACTGAGAATGAGTTCGGGAGGGTTAATTTTTATTAAACATTTTATTTATTTGACAGAGAGAGACACAGCGAGAGAGGGAACACAAGCAGGGGGAGTGGGAGAGGGAGAAGCAGGCTTCCCACGGAGCAGGGAGCCCGATGTGGGGCTTGATCCCAGGACCCCGGGATCATGACCTGAGCCGAAGGCAGACGCTTAATGACTGAGCCACCCAGGCGCCCGGGAGGGTTAATTTTTAGATGATACTTATTTTTGAAAGTTAGACAAAAGCAAACGTAAGCGCATCAGAGAAAATCAGCAGTGATAAGGACAAAAAAGACCATTTCTATGTAATGTAAGACATTTATTTTGGTTACAGTTAGTGCTTTAACACTGATTGGTGATACAACAGACATTAAACTTACTTTCCTTTAAAACCAATTTAATACCTTCCCCTTTTCTGTCCAGGAAACTCACGCTTTCACAATCAAATTACCCTGAAAGCTGACAGGAGATAAATTAAGCTTCCAACGGCTCTGCTCTCTCAGCTGGAGAGGGCTTCTACTTCCAATCAGGATAAAGTCTTGACTTGGTAAGACCCACACTGTTGGCTCTTCAGTGGTTCTTGATACCGGTTTTACGACAGAAAATCTCCTGCGAGGAAAGCGCATATCTTCCTATTATAAGATCAGTGCTTATTTGGATTAAAACATTAGCATCTTAACATTAACTTGTGACACAAAAGGGCACCAACATTCCCTTTCAAAAAGCATCCATCACCATGGGTGGAACACAGTGCCACCTGCTGGTCGTCATATTATTACATCCCCTGTAATTCCCAGGTGGCGGTAAATTCCAGGTGGGGATTCTGAGAATCCTACAGTGTCAGAGCCAAAGGGACCTTAGAGGCCTTCTAGATGAGTCCCCTGGTCTGACAGATGGTGGTTTCTGCTCTCCAGATAACTCAGAGTGGCAGAGAAACAGACCAGCCTGTGGAAAGTGTACTGCTTTTAGACTTGAGAAGAAAACCATTTGGTGCTCTAATTTGACCTAGGTGGGGGTCTGCTAGTCAAAGAAACGGATCAGGTCAGGGGGGAGGGTAAGGGCACCCTGAGTTCCTATTCCATCACTTCCCAGGGGTAGAAAGCCATCCAGAAACAGCTTCCACTGGCCGTGGGCACGTGCTGGCTCTTACACAATAGAATTTTATTTTAACTCAAAAATTAGGAGCTAGATCTCACGAAGTAAAGATAGGGTTTCTGGGGCCAAAGACTACCAAGAAATCCCCAGTTATCAGCATAAAAGTAGCCCCCAAGTAAAGGCAATAATTCTCCCAATGGCCTGTTCTCCCTCATGCCCCCACAGAAAGGCCTTCCAGAGGTCCTGGCTAACTAGCCTGAGTAGCTATGGCTGTCCTATGGAGTGACCACTTCCTGAGCGTGGGAGGGGGAGCCCTCGCCCCAGTCCCGGAGCCTCTTCCAGAAGTAGAGCGGAAAGCTCCAACTTAGGGATGCTACATGCGTCCTGGAGGAAGAGCCACACATTCTAACCGAATCGGGGACCCATGCTTTTTGCTTCCTTTTCCTGGAGCCGGGATGGGTTTGTATCCACTCCCTCCCCGCCTCTTCCAGACACCCCCCCGCCCTGCCGTGGCACCCCAGCTTGAATGGTTGTACTCCGTCTACAAAACCGGCTCTTGCGCACACGGGCTGGGTCAAGGGCATATGCAGTGCACCTGGACACTCCCAGGGGGCTCCCTCCTTGGCGAGGAGCGTAGTATGGGACAAAGGATTCAGCTTCAGGGAGCAGCAAACCTGAAATCTGGCCTCAGCTCCTCCTTAGAGCCGGCACAGCCCGGGCGCCGTGCCCTCCATCAGTCCGAACCCCAGTTCCTTTTTCTTAAAAGGTCACAATACATGAATAAGCTCTACCAACTTGACAGGGTTATTGGAAGGATCAAGTTAGATTAAGTGGGATGGTTCTCTGGAAACTGAGGTGAGGTGCACGGGTTAGAGGATGGCCATTTTACTGAGGTGGGTCTATGTGGGCAGTCCGGTATCTGGAAAAGGCGACAGATCCTGGTTTGTTCAGGGTGGCTGTGGTCACAGAGGAAAGGGACCGTCCAGGCCCCGCACTGCTGGCCCTGTGGCGGGAGAGGCCACGACACCCGGGAGCGAGGCCCTGTGGCACCCTGCTTCTCCTCGTCTAGCCGGACGCCCCCGGTCAACTCTGAAAAAGGCACATTCCCCACCTCGACAGGTTAACACTGCCTGAATTTCCATTTGCCACTGAATTTTAAAGACTCAACTAAAGTCCTTGGTTTTTCATTTCTGCTAAGACTCCTTTTGCAAATCCTTGCAAGTGATCCTACCATGAATTCAGGTTTCTGGGAGCTTGATACACCTGCCAGAACAATACCCTGCATATATCTGGGGCTCAAAAAAAAAAAAAAATGTTTAATTCAGCCAACTATTCTAGACCTCTTGTGCTAGGAGCTGGGGGGGATGGCTGAGAACCACCTCCCTGCTGTTGGGGAACCTGAAGACGACAGGAGTGCATCACTTTCCATGGCAACAATCATTTGAAGTCCTAACAAGACTATGTTCAAAACAAAACTCCTAAATTCTGACGAATGTGCACACACGCGTGAGCGTGAGTGCTTGCGCATTCTGACGTCATCCTGAAATTAGTCCTAAAAAAAGGTGGTTCCGGTTGGTATGTTTGCTCTACCGCCAGTAAAGTCTCCATTTGGAGGCTCCGCCGTGTTTCATTTCGGCCTGGCTGAGTCATTTTTGCTCTTAGGGCTCCAGGATCTTTCTTGGCACCACAGAGCCCTAAGAACTACCTAAAAGTGGGTGGGGTGAGAGCCTGCTCCTCCATCCTCTGGCTGTGTTTCTGAGACACACACCCCCCTACACACCCACACACCCACCCTGTAATCGGCCAACCTCCTCCTTCTGTCCTTGGAATAGCAACCAAGACAAAAAGCAGTTAAGCATGAGTGGCCTGAGCTTGCCAACGCTGTAATTCAGGACAAAACCTCTGTAATTCTTCAAATGGTGGGGTTTTTAAATAGGCTGGAACTTCAACACCCTGTTTTCTAAAATAAAATAAAATAAAATAAAATAAAAAAGAAGAAAACCATGCCCAAAGGCATCGCTCTTCTAACAATCCAAGTGACTGAGAGCAGTCCAAGGGAAATATTCCAAAGCAGCGGATTCTGAATGCAAGCCCTCCAAAGATTCGCATTTGAGAAACTATGGACTTATAGGAGTCCTCCAGGGGAATGTCTGCCCACCTGATGGCCTCTTTGTTTGGGTATCTTTAATCCTACTGAAATACTTAAAATGCAGTCTCTTCATGGGAATTTCCACCCACTAACTGCCGGCCATGGGGCCAGCTTCAGACCTCACAACGTGCCTCTGCCTGTGAACAAGGTGTGGGCGGTGGGGAGGAGCGGGGGGACACAGGCATGGTGGGGAGAGAGGGGCCTGCGTTTGCATAGTTCCCTTACAGGGCTCGAGGTGCTGAGGTCCCCACTCAGGAGAGGACCCAGGGGTGGGTGCCAGGGAGCGGGGGAGGGAGGCAGGGGGCAACGGAGGTCAGGAGGGGCCCCTGGGGGCATCTCGAGCCTTATACTCCCACAGACCTCCTGCCTTGGGCCATCCAGGAGAAACATGCACATCACAGGCCTTCCCCCTCTGCGCCCCCACCTCAGGGAGAGGGCATCATAAACTGTAGGCACAGGACACACCAGGGAGCGACAATGCCTTCCATAGCAAGCTTCTTTATATGCTCCCCAGGGGGAAAGTGGCCCAGGGCTGTGTTGGGACAGACTTGTGGGCAAGTGCCTGGTGATGCTGGGAGCAGGGTACACTGTGTTTCCTAAACATGGTGGCTTGGGGCACCTGGACCAGGGCCTCCCCTCCCTGCCTCTAGAGAAGAGGCAGCAGGAGTGCCCTAGAGTTTCAACTTCCCCTCCTTGACTAGTTTGTCATTGAGCTGGCAGAGTTGGGCCAGGAAACCATCGTTGGGGCCGATCTCACGGTTCTGCCTCACGATGCTCAGGGCAGACTTGACATCCATCTTCTGACGCATCATGAGGTAGGCGATAACGAGGGTTGGGGAGCGGCTGTAACCTTCCCGGCAGTGGACGAGGACCCGGCCTGAAAAAGAAACAGGGGCACGCGAGCTGGAGCTGGGGCCGTCCGCACACAGCCCGACTCGAGTCAGAACTCTTCCGGGGCAGCGCCAATGAAAAGTACAACAAGACGCCCTTGTGTCCCCACCCGCGTGGAAAAAGATGGAAAACACAGAGCATCAGTGAGGATGTGGAGAAGCAGGACTTCTCTCTCCGGCTGTGCAGGGCGGGGCTGTCACTCTGGCCGACGGTGGGGCCGTACGTACTCAAGTGGAACGCATGTGAGCCCTACGGCCCAGCGGGGAGGTGCACGCGTGTCCCCAAAAGACACGTGCCAGAATATTCAGAGGGCGGCGCTGTTCATAACGGCCCCCACTGGCAGCTCCCAAAGGCCCATCAATAGCAGGACAGATAAATAACAAGAAGGAGGGGTGCCTGGGCCGCCCAGGCACCCCTGAATTTGGTATTTCCATCAAAAGCAAAACATATGGGGCCACTGGGTGGCCCAGTCGGTGAAGCATCTATCTGCCTTCGGCTCAGGTCATGATCTCAGGGTCCTGGGATCGAGTCCTGCTCAGCAGGGAGTCTCTGTTTCTCCCTCTGCTCCTACCCCCACTCATGCTCTCTCTCTCTCTCCCTCCCTCTCTATCAAATAATAAAATAAAATCTTAAAAAAACAACATAGAAATGACCCAAATGTCCACCAGCAGGTGAACGGACAAACTGGGACACACCCGCAAGATGGAAAACTCGTCAGCATTAAACAGGAAAGAGCTACGGCCACGTGCAGCCACACGGATGGAACTCACAGCAATTGTACCGAGAGGGGCCAGGCCAAGAAAGCGAACCCGCCGCGTAATTCCATGTATACAAAAGTCTACAAAACGTACACTCATGTCTGGTGACAGAAAGCAGAGCCGTGGTTGCTTAGGAAAGGAAGGCGGAGGGGACGGAGGGGAGGGATCACAGAGGCACCTGAGGAAACGCCAGGGCTGGGGGGTGACGGGCGGGCCCACTATTGCGCTTGCGGTGATGGTCTCACAGGTGTGGACCTATGTCAAAATGTCAAAGTGTAGGCTTTTTTTTTTTTTTTAAAGATTTTATTTATTTGACAGAGAGACACAGCAAGAGAGGGAACACAAGCAGGGGGAGTGGGAGAGGGAGAAGCAGGCTTCCCAGGCTTCCTGCCAAGCAGGGAGCCCAATGTGGGGCTCGATCCCAGGACCCTGGGATCATGACCTGAGCCGAAGGCAGACGCTCAACGACTTAGCCACCCAGGCGCCCCAAATTGTAGGCTTTAAATACTTGTGATTTGTTGAATGTCAATTATACCTCAACAAAGCAGTTTAGGAAAATAAAAGGAACATGCATGTCAAATACAAACACAGGGACAGAAAAATCAAAACACACAAACAAAAACACCCTCTCACGCACCCCCCCCATGGCCCACTAGGCCTGATGCAATCCGGCCCCCCCTTCTGAAGTCATCTCCTCCTCTCTGTCTCTACAGACAGCGGGCCTCTCAGCCTGCAAACCTCTTTCCCCAGGTGTCTGCTCCCCGACCCACCCTCTCTAAAGCCACAACCCCCCCAATCCCAGCCCTTCCCCCCCGCTGCTTTTTTGCCCCCCCCCCCCCCCCACCACACAGGCCGGAAATCTTTTTTCACTTGTTTGCTGTCAGCTTCGCCTGAAAAGGGGAAGCTCCACAAGGCAGGGGCGTCTGACCGTTTTGCTCCCCGCTGCATCCCCAGCATTTGGTGAAAGAAAGCATCAGCAAGTCCCAGCACATTGCATTTCCACTGGGGGGGGGGGGCCCTGGGACCCACAAGCCTTGGCTTCTCTCGGCCATCACCCCTCCCACCACAGAGCCTTAGTTCAGGTCCTCATCACCCTCACCTCCACCCCCTCCACACCTCCAAACAGAGCTCTCGCTTTACCCTCACCACCACCAATCCACACTGCCCCCAGAAGCCGGAAGGGGCTTTCTAAAATTCAAATACAACCTGTCACCCTTTGCAGGACTTCTAGTCTCCAAGGTATGGCTTATAAGGCCAAGTGCCCACAGCCCTGATACCTTCCCATGCTTTTCCACATCTGCACGTGTCATTCCCTCTACCTGGAACATAGTCTCTCTCTCGGCCACCTGGCAAACTCCTACTCATCCCTTAAAACCCCAGTTCAAGTATTTCCTTTGTCAGCATAGGGATTTAGAACCAAAATCTTTGGGGCGCCTGGGTGGCTCAGTTGGTTGAGCGTCTGACTCTTGATTTCGGTTCATGTCACAGTCTGAGGGTCATGAGACTGAGCCCTGCGCCGAACCTCCCCCCTCCCCCCTCCCCGAGGGGCACATGTGCACACACACTCTCTTTCTCTCAAATAAATAAATAAATACATCTTTTTTGAGAGAGAGAAAGAGCACGTGCATGTGTGAGCCAGGGACAGGGGCTAGGAGGTGGGGGGGCAGAGGGCTAGGGAGAGGGGAAGCAGACTCCCTGCTGAGCGCAGAGCCAGAGGCAAGGTTCGATCTCAGGAACCTGAGCTCATGACCTGAGCCAAAACCAAGAGTGCGACTCTCAATTGAATGAGCCACCCTGGCGTGCCGAAAAATAAATCTTAAAAAAAAAAAAGAACCAAAGCCTTTGAAGTCATATGAATATGAGTTTAACTTTTAACTTGCTGGTTGCGATGGTTACATGTGTCAACTCGGCTTGTCTACCATGCCCAGTTGCTTGGGCAAACACTAGTCTAGAAGGTATTTCCTGGATGTAATTAACCCAACTATCAGCTGACCTTCAGTAAAGGAGACTGCCCTTAATCATGTGGATGGGCCTCACCCAATCAGTTAAAGATCTTAAGAGCAAAAAGTGAGGTTCGCTGGAGAAGAAAAACTTCTGCCTCAAGGCTATAATAAAGAAGCCTGGCCCCGAATTTCCAGCCTGCCACTCTGCCCTACAGATTTCAGATTTGCCAGATCCTACAATCATGTGAGCCCATTCCTTAAAATAAAAATACCTATTTATTCTATTGGTTCTGTTTTGCCCACCAGTACACTGCTTATGAACTCTGTGACCCACCTAACCCCCCACACTTCAATTTCCCCACCCGTGTTAATACTACCCATTGCACAGTGTTGTTAGGGGACTGAAGGAAGCGTCATATAAGGCCCTTAGGCTAATGCCTGGCATATGCAAGCACTCAATAATGAACTCCTAGCCAGCAACAGGGGTCGTCTGGTGGCGCCCAGAACCTTCCACGACAGCGGCCTGGGCTCTGTACCACTGCTGGCCACGCATAGATCTACCCTCCTCCACCAGACTGCGTGTGCCTTACGGGCAAGGGCTGTGGGGTACTGATTTCTGGAGGCCCTACAACCTCTTGTACGCACTTGGTGCTTAATAAGCATTTGCTGACTAGCCAAGTGAATGATTATCCACCAATGCCTCCATCCTGCCATTATTTTGAAGGAAATCTGCTGGCCCAGAATCAAACAGAGTCTCTTCCGTTCCCATCACCTTACCCCCAAAACAGGACTCTATTCTCCCCGTGCCTCCCAAGCAGGAAGGGCGAGTCCGCCACTCTCCTGCCCATTCCCTCTCTAGCCAATATACCCAAAGGATGCGCAGTGGGGTTCTCCCTGCCCAGGCCCTGGCAAGGGGACCCTCTGCAGAGCTGCTGCCTCACCACCTGGTAGATACTCAGCAGCCCAGGACTCACAGAGCTGACGGGGAAGGAGAAGGTCTGACTCCCATCCCTCCAGGCCCCACCCAGATAACACCTCCTCCGTATAAGCCTCCCTTGATCCAGCCAGGAAGGGACTGCTTCCTCCTCTGAGCACTCCTGGCTCATCCCACTTCTCCAAAGTGAGGGGCGCCTGGCTCCCCCGAGCCCTGCACCCTGCGGGAGGCCAGTGACTTTCTGTTCACTCACTCAGCCAGTCAATCCTAGAGGCATTTACACTTGGCATGAGAGCCCACGGAATTCATTTTTGTCCCTCACTCGGTAATTATTTGCAGTGTGTGTGCTACGTGCCCAATGCTACATCGCGTGCTGGGGAGAGTGGACCCAGCCTGAGGGCAGGCTTCACTGAAGACAGAACACTATGCCTGGTGCTAAGGCACAAGGTGGAGTTTGCCAGAAGACAAGGGAGGGAGAGGCAGAGAGAACTTTCCAGACTGACAACTTAGCCCATGCCACCTCCTGCTAAGGCAGGAGGGTCACAAGAATTCAAGGTCTGTTCCTAGTGGTAGGGGAAGGGGAAACAAAGTCAGAAAGCTCTAAGTTCCCCAAGTGGATGACCAATCCACATACAAGAAGAGCAAAATCCATCCCCTTAACTGGGCCGCTCGTTCCCATCTACACAGGAACTCAGTAGAGCCGGAACGGAGGGGGTGACATACACGAGACCGTGAAGGACCATGAAGGGGCTGACAGTAGAGCCTGCAGATTTCCTGGGTGATAAAACTTCCCTCCTGAGCCCCAGACATGAGATAACCAGCGTCTAGTCCACACTGGTCACTGGAAATCATTCCAGGGGGAGGCTGCTGGGCACAAGAAGCAGAGACAGGCCAGAAACAGGGGGACAAGGCCGACTGCACCTTCACGGGGTTCACCTCCCCCTGAGAAGGCTGTGGGTCGGGGAGGAAGAGGCTGGGGGATGCAGCCTGAAGGTAAAGGCAGACACTGAGAGGAACAAGCTAAAAGCAGAGAGGGCAGGTGGCCCGGCCCGCTCAACTGATGTCTGCCCTCTGCCTTCTAGGGCTTCCCCCCAGGGGGCGGCCTGCCTGCCTGCCTGTGCCTCAGCAGTTCTCCTTCAGTCTTAGATTTGTGCTGCAGGAAGCATTTAGAAAGTGGCTGGAAGATGTGGCCTGTGGGCTGTAGCTTGCTGAGCACCAGCCTAAGCCAGTCATGGCTGCCCCATTCCCCCGGCCGGGCACTCATGTAAGCCAACTCCAGCCAGTGAGATGTGAGGGGAACCCCACGGAGGGGTTTCTCAGGACCCTTCTACTTGCTCTTTATTTTTATTTATTTACTTATTTTTAAGATTTTATGTATTTATTTGAGAGAGAGAGAGCATGAGCCGGGCAGAGGAGCAGAGGGGGAGGGAGAAGCAGACCCCCTCTGCTGAGCAGGGAGCTTGACACGGGGCTCGATCCCAGGACCCTGGGATCATGACATGAGCTGAAGGCAAGACGCTTAACCGACTGAGCCACCCAGGTGCCCTTCTACTTGCTCTTTAAATAAAGGAAGAAACATGAGGAAGAGATGGCTGCCAGGTCTTTTGCTGTACTTCGTCCTGCCAGGGTGTGGTGACTGGGTCTGCCACCGCCATCTTGGGACCACTAGGGGAGAGCCCGGAAGGTGGCGGGGGGGAAGATGCCGCCACTGAGCTGCTGAACCAACCAGCTCCAGAGCTCCAACACCTCAGCACTTCTTATCACGGAAGATAAATCGTTATTGCTGCACCTATTTGAATTGGGGGCATGGCGGGGAGTGGCTAGAAATGAACTCCCAAAGTCCACTCAAACACCAGGACCCCGGAGGCTGCCACTGGGAGAAAGGTTTGTACATCTTGTGTAACGTGGGGCCTCTTGACAGGTTCCAAGAGGAAGCCGGCTGTGGGCCTGTTTTCTAGGAAAAAAGTCTAGTCAAAGCTGCCTTGCCTTGTTCCCTGGACTGCAGGTGACTTACCATTCTTTTGAGCCAAGGCCTGGTCGATGAAGTCTGCAGCCCTTTCAAAGTAGGCGCTGAGGTTGAACTCCTGCGTGTCGTTGGCCTTGATGCCCAGGTAGGTGATACCGGAGTCCTTGTAGAAGTTGGCATTGGTATTGACGTGCATGAAGGACCTGCCCTCAGCAGCATTCAGCACATGGGTGATGCCTAGTTTCTGCAGCTTGGGGATGTCTTGTGCCACAGACCTGGACAGGAGACAGCAACAGGGGATGATTAACTCACCAACTGGCAGCCCCGGGGGGAGGAAGATGGAGAAGATTCTAAGTCTCCTGGCAAAGCTAGGAACTGTCCACGCTCGGCCCCTGCCGGCTTCCCCTCATCTTATGACCCACCTCCCTCCCTCCAGGCATATCTAATTACCCGCAGCTTCCCCAAATAGCTGGGGCGTTTCATGCCCATGTTGTTCCCTCTCTCTGGAATGCCCTTCTAGAGCTTCTCCATGGACACACACCCTCTCATTTTTCACCACCCTCTGCAGTATGTCCCGATCGCCCCTCCAACCCATCTGGCATCATGCTCCCCTATCCTGTGGCGGTGGTACAACCCAGTGGCTCAAAATGGGCTCTAGAGCCAGACTGCCTGGGTCTGAATCCAACAATCCAACCCTCAGACTTACCAGCCAGGTGACCTTGAGCAAGCCACTAACCTTTTGGTGACTCAGTTTCCCTGTCAGTCAAATGGGGCTGATACCCCCTGGGCTGGCTGTGTTAAATGAGCGGTCCTATAGACAGAGCGTGACACTGTGGTCCGTGCTCTTCTAATGCCTGATTGTGCTTATTTGTTCTGAGCTCCTGGAGGGAGTAACCCGGTCTGCCTGCCCAGCACCTGCTACAGCATGTAGCGCGCAGTAGGTGCTGAGTGACTATGTAGTGAATCAGTGAAAAAGAAGGACATCAGCGCATCCGAGGCAGCCTCCTTCCTTGGATCGCAAAGTACGGCAGCCCCTCCAGTCCCCCGGAGGGACCTTTCCGCCACAGAGCACTAGCCATGTCTCTGAAGCCCTCCTGGGTGAGTAAGCACTTGGGGACCGAGTGGCGCCAATAGAACTCTGGGGGTTATAAAACATTTGATCTGAATAGTCAAAGGGCTCCTTTATTTCATCTCCCAACAACATCCCAATTCAAACAGCAGTTTATACTTTACAAAACGCTTTCTCCGACTCGATGGCGTCTGCCTGTCACAGCAGCCTGTGAGGAAGCAAGGCCTGGGCTTGAGCTCCGGCCCCACAGGACGGCGGGAGGATGAGCCGTGGGTCACACGGGCGGCTAGCGGCTGAGCTGGGAGGAGGCCTGACACCAGCCCTGCTCTGTCCCCCCCCCCCACTCTGCCTGTCATGTCCACATCAACTGCATAGCCCGAGTTCTAGAAAATGAGGCTCACACAGGCTCCTCTCTGCCTGTGAGCCCTGATTTGGTTCAGGGGGCTCCCAATGGGCAGGGAGCACTTGTTGGCTCCCTGCTGAGTGCCCCCCCCAACACACCCCTGGCCAGGTCAAAGCCAGATTCATTAATTAGGCAGGGGATGTGTTTTTCTACAGTGGCCTTCAGCACTGGCCACTCTGGCTGCCACCTGACATTCACAACCTCGGTTTCCACCCAGGAAGTAGGCGCAGTTGAATGTGCCAAACTGTCCGAGAGCACAGGGTCCCTGAGGGTGCCGCGGCTACTTGCTGCTTGGGTGTCTGGACAGGGCGCTATCCTCAGAACTCTGCAATTCCCTGAGCCCTTTGGCTGAGGCTCTGGGACTGTTGCAGCTGTCCCTGCTCACGAGGCTGCACATGGTTGTAAGGCAGTGGTTGATTAAAAAAACAACTCTGAAGGTGAGCTCCCATTCACCTCCCTTGTGGATTACAAATTCAACATTCAACAAAGTTACCATTGCTATATTACTATCACCATGAATGTGCACTGCAAGTGCCTGACACAGAGTAGGTGCTCCATACGGTGAATGAAGGGATGGAGTGGATGAGACCTGTCCCCCATGAAAGTGGGACCTGCCCTATGGACCCCTGTTAGCCCCGCGAGGACCCCCGTTTTTGTGGCAGCCCTCAGCAGGGTAAGCAGCAGGTTCTAGTACAGGACAGGGGATACAGACATGAACGAGACGTTGACCCTGTCCTCACAGTCCCTCAACCACCCTGGGCCACCATTTCCTCCTGGATAAAAGGAGGGAAGGAAGTTAGTTCCGGGTTTCCAACACGCAGACCCTGGCCCATAGAGCGTAGGGCGTCGGTAAATCAAACCCTATCTGGAAGGCAGGAGAAGGAGCGAGGGAACCCCGGCCCAGCTCTCCGGATCCCTCATTTGGAGTATTTCGATTCCTTGATCTAGCCTATCCAGCCAGGAAAGTTCCACGCCCGATTTGTGACGTCAGCCAGTTGCCATGGCAGCGAAGGCAGACATTCCGCGGTGACCTCACTGCAGAACCAGGCAGCTGTCACATGACGCGCGGGCTGGAGACCGGCCGGGTGACAGAGGGCCACCTGTTTAGTGATCACGGTAGCCCGACCCCGCCCAAAGCCGAGCCCCTAGCGGGCGACGGCTTCGGGCCGGACGCCGGGCTGGCTAGCGTCCCAAGATCCGGGCCCCCCGCGAGGGGGAGGACCGCGCGGGGCCGGGGCGGGATCTAGCCCCTCTGCTCCCCGCGCGGGGGCGGCCGGCGACTCCAGCCCCTGCCCGGTCCCCGCGGTGCTCCCGGAGGGCGACCACGCCCCGC